ATTAAAAGTAATAAATGAATGAAGGGTAAAAATGTAAAATTTGTGTTTAAAAAAAAAATAGGATAATAGTTGTTGGACGTCCCAAATAAAAAAATAGGACATTAGTTTGTGGACTGAGGGAGTATTTTTTTTAATCTAAAAGGTACAAATGAAAATCGAGTCCCTATTGAATCGATATAGTGTTACAATAGTATAAATAATATAATGAACAAACATTATTCTATACAAAATATTTACATCTATAAAAAAATGTATATAAGTCGAAAAAATTATAAATTTTTATTAGAAAAATATTTTCCTCTCTTGTTTGAAAAAATATTTCTCTTATAAAAATTAATTAATGTATCACAGTAAACCATACAAATATTGTTGAGCAGTAGGTAGATCAATTTCATATGTAAAAATTAATACAAAAAACACAAATAAATAATACTCCATCTGTCTCAAACAAGGTGCAACATTTACATTTGGCACGAGTTTTTAGGTGAGTAGTATTAATTAAGATAATTGAAAAATTAGGTGTTGTGATGGAGAGAGAAATATATATTTTATTTTTTTATTTGGATGATGTGAAGGGATAAAGTGTGGCGTAGAAATTAAGTATAATTAATTATTTCATATTTTGGAAATGTTGCATGGTGTTTGAGACATACAAAAAAAAATATTGTAGGGTGTTTGAGACGGAGAGAAAGTACAAAAGTATTAATAATTCTTACATCATAATATAAAATATTTATGAAAAAAATTGTTAATAAATAGTACAAAAGTACGAATTCGGATGTGTTTTTTTGGTATTAGTTTGGGAAGATTTGGTTTTGAGTTGAGTTGAATTTGAATTTTTTTATAGTTTTGGGAAAATACGCACTTTGGGTTAATAGATTTTGTTTTGGTTTTAGGGGTTTTAATAGATGTTGATTTGATAGGTAATAATGTAATGATGTAAAGTGTATTAAATTATATTTATATAATTAATAATAGTGTGATTTAAGTATTAATTTATATTAATTACAAATAAATATTTTAATTTATTTGTATTTTATAAAATTTTATTCTCTAAAAAATGACGTACATATTATATATATTTTATTTAATTATAGCTTATAACTGTGTGAAATCATTAATTAGTTCTACTGCCGCATGAGTGAGTAGACCAAAGTGTATTTATCTATTTTAAAAAAAAGTCAAAACCTATTTATGTAAGCTTCAGATTTTGTCTTATAGGGTGATAGTTTGACGCTTAATTAGGCTTTGACAATAACAATATAGTGAGTTTGGACTCGCGGCCAAAGAAACAAAGCCTTAGTAGTCTTACATCATAATATAAAATATTTATGAAAAAAATATTGTTCTCAATTAAATATAGTACTCTCTCCGTCCCATAACAAAGTATCAGTTTTTCTATTTTAGTCCGTCCCATAACAAAGTATTCATTCATTTTTTTAGTAACTGTACTATCTACCTAACATAACAAATACCCTTACAACTTACAATATATTACACAAATGTCATTACATTTATATCACACATGCTAATAAGGTTATTTTAGTCATTTCTACTTTATTCCTACTACATCATAATATAATATTAATATTTTTAAAACTACGTACAAAAAGCAAATGAATATCTAAGAATGGGACGGAGAGAGTATAATTATAATAATGAACAAGTATTTCAAATACTTGAATTATTACATTTCTAAAAAAGTATATAAGCTGAAAAGTAAAAATTATTCTTTAAAAAATATTATTCTCTTTTATAAAAAATATTAATTGATTTGATCTAAAATATGCAGTATAAGTGTTCATAGTTACAAGATGTTTAAAATTTATGAATCTATAACTTGTTATCAAAATTCGACTAAGAATGGTGAAGTTAAATATACAAATATTGTTCTTGTAATATTCATTGAAGATGTTGTTCTACTATGAATAATAATAATAATAATAATAATACTCCCTCCGTCATTTAAATTTATACTCACTTTTCTTTTTGAGTTGTCATCGAAAAATATTTTCATTTTTTTTAAGTAAAAAATCATTTCATTTTTATACTATTTTTTACTATAAAAGAAAAAATTAATAATTATTACTCACTTTTAATAAAATACGTGCCCAATCAAATGAGTACAGATTTGCATGACGAAGAAAGTAATATATAATCCACATCATTGTTCTATAGAAGAAAATGTTTAAGATTAAAGATTATTTACATAAGAATTTTGGATTGCACTGGACTGTAAAAATATAAATATAAAATTATTAGAAGGTAAAATATGAATTTTTATGGGTAAAAATGTGTAATAATTACTCATAAGGAGTTATATGAAATAAATAGGAAGCTAAAAAAAATTATATTAATAGGGGTTTACAAAGAAAATAATTTAGGAGTAAAAGGATTTTAAGAAAATTAACCCAATTTTAAATCTCTTAAAAAAATATAATTTCCAAGTTTCTACAAAAACAAAGAACACCACCTATTTCATCCCTCAATCCCATGTATTATGGACCTATTACTGTATATACGAGAATTTAGGTAAAGTATGATTAGTAAGTAATTAAGAAGTGTATTAATAACAATAATTATCATATAATAAAAATAATTTTGGATTAAGATTAAAATAATTAAATAGTTTAATTAAGATTAAAAAATTATAAAATTTAAAATTTAAAATGAGATTAAAGTGTATAATTATATTTTCAAAAAAAGAATGGACAAATTATGTGAGACGGACAAAAATATAAAATAAAGACAAATTATGTGGAACGGAGGGAGTAATTTATCATATTGCCTGTAGCTCATTTGAAATAAAATTCGGGCTTTTTTCTATTTCAATGGTCTCATTTTTTTTTTAATTTTTTTTTATATGTTGCACTTGAATTGAGATATTTTTATTTTTGGTAAAATTTATTAAATTTAAACATAAATAATAAATATAAATCAATTTAATTAATATCATAACATATAACATTATATGTACGAGACTTATTCAAAATCCATTTTTTATATCACTCTCGTCAATAAACAAATATAAATATCAATATTTAGCACTTTTTTTAAAAAAAAAATAAAAATAAAATTAGTTTATTTTAATTATAAATAAATAAATAAATAAATCCTTTTTACTTGTTTGTATGATTTAAAATTTATTTTCTATAAAATGATATTCATATTATATATATTTCATTGAGATATAATATTTAAAATATTTAAACACATATTTCAATTTATTTTAATTATATATATTAAATTTTATTTTAAAACTATAACAATATTACTCAGGTAAGAAAAAAATAATATCAAAAATATTTGTGTAAAAATATATTTGTAATTTAAATAAAAATTACAGGTATTTTGGCATTAATGTGTATAATTACTCTTATTACACTATGAAAAAAATGATTTTGAATTAAACAGACAAAATAATTAGAAATAATACTTTAGATTGAAATGAAAAGAATACTCAATTTCGGACTTTTAAAAATAAAAATAAAACCTTATCATTTCTAAAAATATAGAAAAAAAAAAAAAAAAAACTCATCCAGGTCTAGAACATGTAGGGATGTCAAATGAGACATGTTAGCCTCGGACCCGCTCTTAATGGGGCGGGTTCGGGTCTAAATAATATGTTTCGGAACGAGTTGTGGATTTAAAATTTTAAATTCGACCGGGTTCGGGGCGGGTTACGGATACTAAAAATCCGACCCAACCCGGACTCGGATCCAAACCCGGATATTTTTTAAAATTATTATAACTAATATATATGTACATTTATATAATAAAAATATATTATTTATTTATTTAAATAATTTTAAATATAAAATTCAATTAGTCGCGGGACGGGGCGGATCTTGGGGCCGGATGGAAACGGGGCGGGACGGATCTCGGAGCCTAATATTTTCTAGCTGGGCGGGTCTCGAGGCCTGCAGAACCCGTCCCGAACCCGCCCCGTTCACATTCCTAAGAACAGGGCAGTGGTGGCGCCTTTTGCCTATGGTGGCGACCGCATGGCGGATGGCGCCTAACTCCGGGAGCGGCAGACAACGGCATAATTCTGCCGGAGATAATAATAAAGAAGAAAAATAAACGAAAAAATTGAAAGTAATAATTGATCAAAAATAAATTTGAAATATCAAATATTGGAATCAAAATATTAAATTTTAACATATTTCAATTAATATGTATATTTCTACATAGTATGATTGAAAGCGACAAAAATTTACTTACAAATTTTAACAACGTGACAACATCTTAATTAGTTTGTACCATGGTTTGATTAGCTCAATCTGTAATAATTAATGGCCTTAAAAATTGATAATATATTGATTAATATTAATATTTTAAAAAAATGATGTGCTTTATAATAATAAGTAATAAATACTCCCTCCTGTCTTGCTGTAAATATAAAAATTTAAATAAAGTATAATCAGTAAGTAATTAAAGGGTGTGTTTGTTTGGGGATTTGGATTTTGAGTTGAGATTTAAATAGTAAAAATTTTGAATTTGAATAGTTGTATGATGTGATATAAATAGGTGTTGATTTGATATTTTGAATGTAAAATTGATTTTTAGTATAATATAAAAAATAAAAAATAGATTTTTGATTTGATGTTTTTGGGGAGAAAAAATTGAATGAACAAATCAATTTTACATGCAAAACATCGAATCAACACCTATTTATATCACATCATGCAACTATTCAAATTCGAAATTTTTACTATTTAAATCCCAACTCAAAATCCAAAAACCCAAACAAACACAACATATAATGGGTTTCTTTTAATATTGGACTATGGACAAAAGTCTTTTTCATCCTTTATACAAATTGAAGAACGGCTCCTAAAAAACTAGAAAAATAAAATAAATAAAACTATGGATCAAATATGTCTAAATAATAATAAAATAAACAGGCCCACGTAGATGGCAAACAAACACGTCCTAGATATTAACGTATGAATACTGCAATAGAGGCGGGAAATGAAATTTATTTGTGTCCCCCCCATTTCTGCTGTTTCCTCTGGATTCTGTGCCTGTGGATACTAGCTAGCTAGGGCTTTTCATTCCTAGATTAATCGGCGTCAGCTTGCTCTTGATTCCGATAGTGTGCGTCGAAGTTTCAACAACAAAAATAGTTTATCAGGCTAACCATGCCGCCGCGTCCCGGCAAATTACTGGAAGAAAGGCTGGCTGCGGCTGGCTGCATTCTCATTCAGCCTCCCCCCTCCACCGTCGAACTCTTGACCCTTCTGGGTGTAAGTTCTCCACAACCTCAACAATCTTATATTTGTGTATGTATAAATATCGAGGGGAGGGAGAGGAGGTAGAATTTCCGATCGACCGGAATTGGGTACATAGGGTGACTCGATATTCCTATTCGAGGATTTAGGGTTTAGGGTTTAGGAGCCCAATATGGTGATGGGATGTTTTGTACTTGAATTTTGATCTGGAATCGAATACGGTGCTTTTTTATGATAAGAATGTTGAAATTTTGATTGAAAAGCAGTTCGTCGCTGATTACCTAATGCTAAGATTTGGAAAATGAGAAAAAGGGGAAGGTTGTGTTTGTTTGGTGTTATAGTAGGAATTGTGTCGATAATATAAAAAATACTGTTTTTGTATTGAATTGTTGATCTTTGTTAGAGAATAAAGTGTATATATTATTTATATTATGCGGGTATATCTTTTATTATTTTATTAATATTAATTGGGAATTGTGTTAGCTTGGTGAACAAACCCGAAACTTTTGGAATAGGCTGAGGTACTTGGTGACCTTGCTTGACTTCTGTTATTCATACATTATGCAGTTTTCTTCTTCATTTATCTGTTATTGTGTAAACTTTTTTATATCATTGCTAGTTTCCCGGTGTTCATTTTTTCTAAACATTGACATGTTTTTATGAAGCAAATCGAGGTACTTTTATCAAAAGTGGAGCAGTCGCCTGCCAAAACCATGCGGGATGCTCTTTCCCGGCTGATAAATGCCCTGGCTGCAGAAAAGCTACTAAAGCATTCTCATGGAGATGTAAAAGTAAGTGTTGCTCTTTGTATAAGTGAGATAACCAGGATTACTGCACCGGAGGCTCCATACGACGATGATAAATTGAAGGTGAAAATCTTACCCTTCTCTCTCCTCTCCCATCCCTCTCTTGATATAGGCTCCTAACACTTTCTACGGTTTTAGGATGTTATGCAATTGATTGTTTCATCCTTTGAGCATTTGTCGGATACATCAACCCGATCTCGTAAGAAGAGGATCACTATTCTTAAAATTATGGCCAAAGTCAGATCGTGGGTCGTCATGTTGGATTTTGGATTTGATCAGATTATTATTGAAATGTTTCAATATTTTCTTAAAGGCATTACGTATTCTTTAATGTTATATGTTCTTTCATTGGGTATGATTTCTACGCTATGTGATTACTAGTGAGACTGTGAGTGCTTATTTATGTTGTTAACTTTGGATGTTTCATTTGTCATTTGCCAGGAAAGTGTGCTTATTTACTTTTTAAATTTCTTTAATATTACTTGGATTTGAATAAACAGAAGTAACTACAAATTAAATGTATTTTGTGCATATTATACTTTTATATGAGTGGGACAAAATAAATGCAGTAAACTACATTTAAAAATCTTTTTTTTTTTTTTTTTTGTTTAAAAAAACTACTATTATCTATTTCATTAGTTCTTAAAGGAACCAAATTACTGCTTTTTTGTTCCAAGAAAAAAATCATTGAGGGTGTGTTTGTTTGTTGGTGGGGTTTTGGGTTTGGATTTATGAATAGTAAAAAGTTGAATTTGAATAGTTATTTGATATGATATAAATAGATATTGATGTGATGTTTTGAATGTTAAATAAATTTGTAGTATAATATAAAAAAAAATGAATCGTTTTGATTTGATATTTTTTGGAGAGAAAGAAGAATCTGAATAGTAAAAACCTGTGTTAAAACCCACAAAATAACACAACCTGAAGTTGCAACCACAAAAAAAGAGTGTAGTATGTAACATTGCATTTATCTATCGAAAGCAATTTGTATCGAGTTCTGTACTCAATATAGTTTGCTGCTGATGTTAATAGCCATATTCATTCTTTTAGCAATAGAGATTAAAATGAGACACTTTGCTTGTTTATCCTTTTCAAATGCTTTGCACTGTTCTTAAAAATGTTTATTATTTAAAAAATAATTAAAGGTGAAGAGCTGGAGAATTGGAAGGAATCTGTTAGAGAAAAGACATGTTTTATTTGAGTATATGGTAGTGTGGGTCTTGATCTAGGAGAATAGAGACTTATGATGGTGATCCATAGTGATGGGATAAGGACTTAGCTAAGTATGATGATTACTCACTGTAAAGTGGTTATATAAACTTTCCAACCCAGCATTGTAAGATAAATGTAAAAATAGTAATTAAGCCCTTGATTAGGAATCGATTTTAATCAATTGCATAAATATAAAATATGCATATATACTTAATGAAGCCCAATGGGCTCAACCAACATACTATTAATTCTAATACTATCTAACACTTACCTTTAAGCTAGAACGTATACATCATATGCGCCAAGCTTGCCGCATAAATACATGATATAAGAACATCTAAGAGATTCGGTGAAGATGTTGCAAAACTAATGACGGGAAGACACTTAGTACTAATGCATCTAGATAACATCTCTTAAATGAAGTGAGCAATCAGTCATTATACGTTTAGCTTGTTCACAAAATACTGAATAAGAAGCAATATGAATTGTAGTTTTATTATAACAAGAAAGTTTAATCCTAGAGATATTGAAAGACTACTTATCCAAATAAACACCTAGGTGGCAAAACTGTAGCTTGATACTTGTCTTCAATGCTTGATTTACGATGTTTTAATCTTTACATTTCAATGATACAAGATTGCCACAAACAAAAATGCAATTTCCAAATGTGGATTTGGACTGTCTATCAAATCGAGATCCTGCACAATCAATATCCGAATATCCAACAACTTGAACATTAAATTGATTCATATATAATAGCCCATGACTAGGTGATTCTTTCACATATCATAAAATGTGAATAAACATATCAATGAGTGGTAGTGAAGATTGACTTTTACAAAGCTATCATCGTAAAAATTGTTAGGACGAGTGACAATAAGATAATTCAAGGTACAAACTAGTCATTGATATTCAATAGTGACCAACCTCATTTTGATATGGATTAAGTTTAAAGTTAAAAACGATAGGCGAGTAATAGGTTTATAATCTATCTTGTGTGTTTATTTTAACATATCCAAGTTAAATTTCATTGAAAAATAGTAATACCATGTTTTGATCATAGTTGTCAATAGCGCGCTATAGCGGCGTAGCGTAGCGGAAAGGCACTTTGCTGCTACGGCCGCTCCGCAATTCCGTGTTTTCGCAATAGCGGTGTAGCAGCCTGTAGCAGCACTCCGCTATGTTAAGCTATACCACTATTGTAGCTTATTTTATTATTTTTTAACATGTTAATAATTGAAATATAACTTTAACTTATAAAATGTACTTTTTTATTATAATATAGACAAAAAAAATATTTATCTTAAATCTTAACTAAATTTTTAAATTCATTTCGAGAAAAGAAACAAATTAGAAAGCCAAAAGTTGAAAAATTTGATTTCTATCAAGTATAACCAAAATTTGTTAGATCATTATGGTAGCAATGATGTGATTGGTTTTATTGTTTTGAATGATTCCAATGAGTGGTTAATTAAAGAAGTTGATAATTTCGGAGGATAAGTTAGTTTTTGACAATATGATAATTTAACTAGGGGAGTTGTTAATGCTAATAGGTCTGCTATCTACACTAAGATACAAACATCAATACATCAGAAAGCTATAGGTACTTCTAGCTCTAAAAAGGGAAATGATATTATATAAGGTGACGAACATGCAATTGAATAAATTGATGAGAATGAAGAAAAGGAAAAAAAATATATAGACAAAAGTAATTAAACAGTGAAGATGATGAAAATGAGGAATAAAATTTTTTATCAGATTTTGAATCCGATTAGCTTTGACATATCTCTATTACATAATAGTGATCTAATTTTTTTTTTTTTGTTTCTATAACTATCTAATAGTTATGATCATATATATATATTATGACATTTTATTGGTTTGGGCGATAATTATGAAATTAATTTATAGGTTTTTTTTTTATGTATTTTTGTTATAATTTTGTATATATAATAATTATATATATATTCTTAAATATTTAAATGGCCGTCATACCGCTATCCGCTATCTCGCTATAGCATTTTAGATATTGTTCGCTACACACCGCTATCCGTGATTGACAACTATGCTTTTGATAAAACAACTCTATGCCCAAAATATATTTGTCCTTAACCCTTAGGTTGGATGCTACAATAATGTTGTTTGAGTCTATGTATTTTTACATCCTAATTACTTGCAATAATGACAATATCAGAAATGTGAACAAGATAAAACTCCTAACACTAGTAGTCTTATAAACTACACAATGATTTGATTCAAAATTAATCATTCCAAAATAATGTATAGTAGCACTAAATCGTCCAAACCAAGTTTGATGAGATTACTTAAAACTATACAAAGATCGACGGAGCTTACACAAAACCAAACTACCCAGAGCAACTTTTTTTGGTTATCTTCTTACAATGTTCCAAATAAATGAAAAGATATGCCCACTGGGGAAATATTTTTATGTAATCCTAACCATAAGCCTATGTAATTTCTTCGGCAACCATTGGGCCATAAAACTATTACATTTGCAATTTAGGCTAACCTTAGTTGTATAAACCCAATCATAAGCAACTGTAAGCTTGTTTGGCTTCACCTTAGATGCAAGAGAGTCTTGGGGAGCGATTAAAAAAATAGAGACAAACGTAATTCAACTATACCTTTCTAGAGAGCTAGAAAAAATATTGTAACAAATTTAGGAATTGGATCGAAATGGATGGAGAAAGAACGAAGGTGATGATGGTAAACGTGATCAGAAGTAAACTCTAGATAAGAAATAAAAAGGGAAGTATATGGAAAGGGAATGACATTGTAACTAGGAAGAGGTGAAGAGGAAACATAATACTATAGAGATGACTAAAAATAATGACATCAACAACTACAAAATATTGACGACGAGTTGGGTAGTAGCACTTGTACCACTTTTGAATGTGAGGATATCAAAGAAAATGCACTTGAGCGTGCAAAAATAGTTTATCAAAATGCTATATTTGTAATCGTTGACAAAACAAATACACCTAAAGACGGGAGGTAATGGAAACATGAGATCAACAAAAATGAGCATGGGTGAGGAACCTTACCTTGAAGGACATAAAAATGGCATATGATTAATGAGATAGGATGCAATAAGCACCATATTGGCCAAAAAGTGCAAGGTGATATTATGATGTACAAGGAGAGTTCGGGCCATTAGTGAGACGCCAATTTTTCTGCTCAATAATCCTATTCTAAGGAGTATAAGCACAAAAGGATTGTTCGATGAGGCCGTAGGATGACATGTCTTGAGTCATATGGGAAAAACCATTCAAGAATATTGTCATTGTTTGGAACTTTAACCAACAAACCGAATTGAATTTTAATTTTTGCTCAGAATGGAGAATAAATGAAAAACAACCTTAAATGATTTTTCATTAATAAAGCCATGTATAATGAGAAAATCTTCCTCAAATGTGACAATATTAAAGACCAAATAATAAAAAAATACAATAGGATCCAAATATCATCATTCACCAAAGAAAGGGCTAAAATAATCCTATTGGCTTGCTTAGGAAACAAGGAACAATGTTTACCAATTTGATACAATTTACACTCTAATGATGAGATCAAAGGCAACTGGGAAGGCATACACTTCAACTTAGACAAGTTGGGATGGCCAAAGGGGTGGTGGTGGCAGAGACACAAACAATGAGTTTGAAAGTAAGTAGTAAAGCTCACATGACTTACAACTTATGCCGATCATCCAACTTGTTTAACAATTCTGTATATTAAAAGAATCAACACCACGTGTGAGAAAAATTCGAAGTAAGTTACTTTATAATAAATAGTCCTCTGATCCTCTCTCTGTCTCAAACACCCAGAATAAGAAATAATTGACTATGCTTAATCTCTATGCCACACTTTATCCCGTCACATCACTCAAATAAATAAATAAATAAATATACACTTCTCTATCCTATCACATCATATAATTCTCAAACTATCCTATTTAATATTACCAACCTATTTTCTTGTTGAAATCAAATGTACCATGTTTGGGATGGAGGGAGTGTTAGATAGACATGCAAGAACATATAAGATAGAAATTAGATTGATGAGAGGTGGATTAAAAAGAAAAAAGGTTACCAAAGTTATAATCCGATAAAACTGAGTCAAGTATGAGAAGGCTGGAAAGGGAACTCTGAGATAGAAGCTACAAAGTTTCTAAAATGAATGATACCGGTAGAAAATGGAATAGATTGCTCAGAGGTTGAGTGCTAAAGAAATAGCGGATATTCAGATATAGTGATCATGATAGCGGATGGAACTGAGAAATGGGCAAAACAGTCTTCAGTAGGAAGATCAATATAAACTACATTAGGTTGAGTTATGCGCCTATGTAACTTACAAAATTTTTCCTTGGTGAGCGCCCATCTTTTATGAAAAGTACAATAGGGACAATGACCTCTATCCCAAGTAGTACAAAGACCGTCAAGGACATTCTTGGAATCTATAGGAAGCATAAAAGGCAAAATTGTCGCTATCCTTAGGATGGTAGATCTACAAAATCGATTGCTTTGATACCATGAAGGAAGTCTTTGATTGAGAATCAATTTCAATTAATTACAAACAGTACAAAATAGGCATGTACATAAATTAAGCCCAATAGGCTTAGTCCAAACACTATTACCTCTAACACTGCTAATAAATGCAACATTTGTTTTTTTCCAATGACGAAAAAAATGAAATATCAAATTCAACTATTATCTTACAATCAACTTCATTACAATTCGAGATGACACACACACATGAACGTACAAAAAACATCACTTTTAATATCCATTTTCTATTCAAAACATCACTTCTAATAACTATTTTCCCTAAAAAACAACAAAACCCAACATTTCAAAAACTTAAAACACACACGGTACACAAGTACAAACCCTATTATATCCTGAAAGTTAATCATTATACTCTCTTTGATGTAGCTTACAGGAACTTTACAAGTCCACATAGTGAGATTAAAGTTTAAATGGTAACTGGAATACACTTTGGTGATTATCTTGTCATCACTTCCTTTAGTTCCAACTTACACACATTTACCATATTGGATTTAATAATCCTAAAGCTATAATTGTACTTCTCATTGTTATATAACCAAATACTAGTACAACTATTTGTTAAGAAAACACAGCCAAACATATCAAATATATGAAATCAATTTTATTTTTATTTTTGTTATTCATGTGATATGTATATATTAACACTCGCTTAAAGGTAGCAAGATACAGAGAAGTTTTTGTGCTTTTGTTCTTTCTTGTATTTTGGATTTTCTATCTTGTGAGATGTTTTCAGAGATGGGAATTTATTTCATCTGCTACTTTCAGGGATTATCATACCGAAGATATATTTTCATATATGGAGACAATTATGAGTCGTGTTCTATTAGAAAGTGAAGATATCTCCTCAGATCTACTCGGACCAATTTTGGTTACTTTGAAAAAGAATAATAAGGTTTTTTCTTCTGTCTTTGCCAGTCATTTCTCCAATATTTTCTATCCCTTCACATGTTCCATGTGTTGCACTGTTGCTGATAAAGAATGTACTTATAGGCCGTTTTTCCAGCTGCAAAGAAATTGGCTGTGACAGTTATTCAGATTACAGCTGACAAGATCCGACCTTATTTGACTCAAGCAATTAAATCTTTAGATGCTTTTGTGTGTGACTTTGATGAAGTTGTATCCTCTATTTGTCGAGAGGATATTGGTTTATACAAGCATGACAGTCTGCACGGTATCCATCAGCTGGTAAAAATCTTCTTACATTTACAGCAAGTTTACTCTGTGTGATAGCTGATAAATTAATAATCATGTTATACGGATATCACCCAAAGTAAGAATGTGTTTACTCTAATTGACCAATTGATCTGTAAGCTATAGATTACAACATAAATATTAACTTAATGTAAACACTTCTTTACATCCTTCCTAAGTTATTTTATTGCTATATGGTTAATAATTCCTAGTTTGTCGTCTGTAGTACAATCTGTTGATGTTCTCATGTTTTTCCTGACTGTAAATTGTCCAAGGAAATATCCGGCATAAATAAAGGTATGATGTAAGGGATTATTACAACCACACATTGACTATATAATTAGTGTGGATTAACTTAAATTGTAGAGCCTAACTAGAAGTTGTTAACCTTAAAAGCGTTTTGGATTATTTATCGCAGGACTACCATATATAGTCGCCAATTAACCATAACTTAAAATATTCAACAATATTCACTTATTCAGCATGGCTTGATTGATTTCTGGTCCATTTTTATGTAAATGGATGGACTGGTTCCATCATTTTGTAAGCTTGCTGGAACTCAAATCAGAAGCACATAAGCAGGCTGTAAATTTAGCATATCCAACCCAAATTTTTGAGGCTAGCTTGGATATGAAGATAAAGAATTTGATTAGCAGAGAGAGGGTATCTCTTGATACTGCTCATAATGTATCTGAAGGAGAATATGTTTCTGTAGCAAATAACAGAATAAGCAAGCTGACATGGTGGTGCCTTGAGTGATAAGGATTCATCCTGTATTAATGATGTTTGGTGCAAGTGATTAAGTGAAAAAATCACTTGATCAGACAGAAAAAGCAGGAGATACTTGAGATAAGATACAGGAAAAAGCAAGCTTTGGAGGCCTTCACTAGAATCTTTACCAAGAATAAAAGGCAAAAATGTATTTCAATTTCCACCAAAAATATTATTCATGTATTTGAAGTTATTCTACCAGATTACTTTAGTTTAGGATTTCTGTCATTTTAGTTTTGTTGCATATCTCATTGGACATTGTGATGAGTTCAAAAGATGGTCCTATGTCTTCTGCAAGAGTACAACACAGAACAATATTTCAGAATTCAATTTATTATGTGTGTACCTTAGTTGTTATAGCAGGTAATTGCAAATTTACATTCATCTAATTTATTTTTTTTGTTTATGACATAGGAAACTATGAAAAGTTTAAATGCAGCAAGGGGTTCAGGGACCCTCGAAGAAACCGGAAGAGTGAACAGCAAGAGAAAGCAAGTTCCAGACACAAGCGAAGTATGTTTTTTTAGCTTATATTTTGGTGCATGATTTTCATTTGGCAATGTAGATTTCATTCACCAGCATCTAAGAATGTATTCTCTAATGAGAAATTAATATCTATTTTTAATTCTTATGTTTAGTGAGACAATCAAATTGGTATAGAAATTCTCTTGTGCAACTTTGGAATTTTTTTTTTTTTTAACATTTTGAGCAATTTATTCCCTTTAACTGTTTCTCTCTCCCTTGCTTGGTTCATTCTATTGTATACTCTGTTGCCTTGTTTGCAACATCTAATAGATACTATGCGGAATTGTTGTCGCTCTTTATGTCACTAAATAAATTTTGAACCATCATATTAAGCAACATAAATCTATAACGGATATTATTATATGCTACGGGGGATAGCTGTAACAAGGCCCTTAGGTTGGCTTCTAGCTTCCATTTTTTAATAATTTTGTTTTAAATATTTCTACATAAACTTGTTTGGATTGGCTTCTTTTAACCTGAAGTAAAAGTAGGAAATCTCTGTATTTATTTATTTACTTCTATTTTTTATTTCTACTTTTACTTGTTTATAATTTTTGCTTCCATTGTTCTTAGAAGTTAACCCTAACTGCTCTAAGCAAATATACTATAATCCTTTCAAAGAAATTCTCTTTCAAATTGCTTCAAAAACCTCTCCTGCTTATTTTTTGTGTACATAACCAACCTTTTTTTTTTGTAACTAATTCTCTGTCCTTGTAATATAGGTTTTGGAAAGACAACAGTCGAGACCTAAGTTTCTCAATGGTGCTGGAGAAGCTGAGCAAGCTATAGTTGAGCTAAGTCAGCCAGAGCCTATCTCCCAACATAATCTGGTCGATGTAGTACCCTCTAAACCATCTTCGCAGAGATATCAGGCTACTGAGGAGCCACGGAAATCCAAAAGTATGTCTGAAGCAACAGATGTGGCTGCTGAGGATCCATCTGGTCATTTGATGATGCGGAATAGTAGGCAGATTTGTGAAACCACTGTTGGGCAATCTACTCCTATGAAAACCACTCCTGCCACTACTGCTGTGACCACTGCTTGGGATGTGGAAGAAGAATTGGCCGCAGCAGAACGAGCCTTGAAAGAACAGGAGGCTGCTCTGTCTGCCAAGAAAGCTGCATTGGAAAAACTTAAAGAGAAGGCCAGAATTCGTAAGGAGAGGTTGCATAAGCTGACTGAACTGCTTAAGCGATGGTGTGCAGCGAGGAGGATTCAGAAGCATGCTCGACAGATGATTCAATTCAGGATGAAGTGGACAGAAGTCGTGAGTGCCTTAGTGGATACGCGTATAACCTACTGGGACTTACGAAGAGGACTCAGGCATCGCAGTCCTGATAGGCTATTTGTTCCTGAAATCCAAGTGGAGCATTTTGTTGGTGATCAAAATGTTTGCTCTACTGGCCCAAGGCAGAGGCCTGAAGTTCCAGAATCCATACTATCTAAAGCAGTGAAGTTGGAGGAAGATGCAGTGCAAGACGGCCCTTCTCAGACATTTGAGGAATCGGGCCCCCAACCTTCCTGTCCTATTGATTTAACTTCAGGTTCTGCGATCTTACAACGACTTGATCAGCTGGAGGCTCAAGCTGCTACTCTGCAAAATGGGCTCGCTGACTTGCGAGGTGAGGTTCATACTGGAATAAGTCACCTGGGAGCCGGAATGGATGATTTACGAGCACAGTTGAACAGCATCATGGATGTGGTATCCCAAATTAGTGGACATTTTGCAAAGTAATTGAAAGGTGTATTAGTTACAATACCAACAACGATAGTAATATATATTTCGGGAAATTATATATTTTTAACATTTTTGTTGAATATTGGAATAATTTTTTATACATACTAGTGTCTTTCATATATGTATTGCATTTGCAACATTGAAGTTTAAAGAAAGCAGATAAAATGTGGAATAAGTAAAGTGCTGGAAAGGTAAAATATACTGAAAAATAAAAGATAAAAATATAAGAATGAATGGATTTAATTGGTCGGTGACCCTTTCTTCTTCGATGAGCAATTCCTTATACAAGATAGATCACATGCTGAAAATATTAATTCAGGATGATGAATTTCAATCCTAACTCTTAATTTTAATAATAATCTTAATTTTAATATCATTAATACAAAATTAAAGGTTATGATTTGTTTCACCATATGCTAACTTGAAATACAAGTCAGCATATGATCCAAGCCCTTCCTTATATAGCTTCCCTTTAGCCTCTTCCCTCGACTTCATTGAATTTCCTTGTAAAATTCTCTTCTCATAACAGCCATTGTAACTTCATTTTTAAATAATCATGATTAAAAGTCACAACTTGTGATTATCTCATGGCGGAAACCTCCCAAATCATTTAATTCATCGTTATGTTAATTTTTAACTCCCTTAACAGCTCATTTGTATTTTAATTATTGCATCACGTGTTACAAAGCTTATGATCATAATTCATGCATCTTTCTTTCAGTTTCCGCAAATCTCATGGATTTTCATAATCCCCACAGACCTTTTCCATGGTTCGCCCGCCTCTCTTTGGCTAATACTATCACTTGCTTCTTGAGTCAACCTCTTTCTTTGCTACTTTTGGGGCTCAACAATGTGTACTCATTTGATCGAATACCTTTAATAGACAATTAATAAAATATGAGTCATTATCCTAGTTACATGCCATTAAATTATTAAGACACATGACTATGCCTATTAAATAAAGGTGACAAAATAAGTATGGTTCGAAAGTTTGGTTTGAGCACGGCACGAAAAATCGTGGTTGAGCCTCCAAAAATAGATTCTAAAATTTTTGACTCGTGCCTAGTCCGGCACGCTAATGAACTGGACTGTGCTTGACCCAACCTGTTTTTTAAAATTAATATTTAAATATATAGATATATATATATATTAAGTTTTGAAATAAAAACAAAAATAACAACATAGCTTGATGGTAAAGATCTTAGCTTGTATATACAAAGCTAAAAAAATAAACAAAACAATTTTTAAAATTTAAAACAAAGAAAGCAATCGGGTCGACCAACCTTTTCCAGGCCCGATTAACAATCGGGCCATGCTGGCCCAGCAAGGTTTAAAATCGGGTCAGGCCGGCATTAAAAAATCGGGCTAGCCCGAATTTGCAGCCCTACTATTAAATGACACCTATTATAATATATAATGTGTCACAACACTTTTCTTTCTTTCTTTTTTTATTTTATTTTATTTTATTTACAAATACTTTTCAATTAACAACTTTTCATTTTGACTTATCTCATATGAAACAAAACATAATATTATTAAAACACTAAATTTCAATCTCTAAAAATAAAAATAAAACTTTCTAATATAAAATAAATAAATAAATAAAAATTCACTTGCCTCTAACATAGTTGCCAATAGCACAGTGGTGGTGATGGCATGACAACTGACATCCAACTCCGGAAGAGAAAAGATAGTTGTAAAGAAGAAGAACAGACAAAAGAACTAAAAGCATTAATAGACAATAAATTTGAAATATAAAATTTTAGAATAAAAATTCAAAGAATTTTAGTATTTAAATATATTTAAATTGACATGTTTATTTCTAATAAATAGCGTGAATGAAAAAGAGAAAAAATTACTTAAACTTTTAAAATTACACTTGTAGTCCATTTCATCATCTTTTTATGTGTTTGAGTAGTAATGATTAATGACCTTAAAAATTGATAACATATTTATTAACACTTATTTTTCATTACAATGTGTTTCATAATTATAATTAATAAATACAAATTTTATAATACCATATAAGTCCTATTTACTATGTATTATTTAAGCCTTATTAAAAAAAATCATATACATATATACCTTCCCAAGTTTAGCTGAATAGGTCCCAAAAAATAAAAAAATATATATAAAATAATAATAGATAAAAACGATTTAAATTATACTTCCTCCGTCATCTACGTTCATTTTCTTTTTGGGTTATAATTAAAATATATTTTTATTTTTTTTAATTAAAAAATGTTATATTTTATATTTTTTTACTATAAAATAATAATAATTATTATTTATTTTTATTAAACTTCCTGTCCAGTTGAACGGACATTTGCGTGAGGACGGGAGTAATAGTAATAAGCCAAACAGGCCCACGTAGATGGCAAACAAGCACATCCAAAATACTAACGTATGCATACTGCAATAGAAGCGGGAAATGAAAATTATTTGTCCGTCCACCATTTCTGGTGTCTCCTCTGGATTCTGTGCCTGTGGATACTAGCTAGCTAGGGCTTTTCATTCCTAGATTAATCGGCGTCAGCTTGCTCTTGATTCCGATAGTGTGCGTCGAAGTTTCAACAACAAAAATAGTTTATCAGGCTAACCATGCCGCCGCGTCCCGGCAAATTACTGGAAGAAAGGCTGGCTGCGGCTGGCTGCATTCTCATTCAGCCTCCCCCCTCCACCGTCGAACTCTTGACCCTTCTGGGTGTAAGTTCTCCACAACCTCAACAATCTTATATTTGTGTATGTATAAATATCGAGGGGAGGGCGAGGAGGTAGAATTTCCGATCGACCGGAATTGGGTACATAGGGTGACTCGATATTCCTATTCGAGGATTTAGGGTTTAGGGTTTAGGAGCCCAATATGGTGATGGGATGCTTTGTACTTGAATTTTGATCTGGAATCGAAATACGGTGCTTTTTTATGATAAGAATGTTGAAAAATTGATTGAAAAGCAGTTCGTCGCTGATTACCTAATGCTAAGATTTGGAAAATGAGAAAAAGGGGAAGGTTGTGTTTGTTTGGTGTTATAGTAGGAATTGTGTCGGTAATATAAAAAATAATGTTTTTGTATTGAATTGTTGATCTTTGTTAGAGAATAAAGTGTATATATTATTTATATTATGCGGGTATATCTTGTATTATTTTATTAATATTAATTGGGAATTGTGTTAGCTTGGTGAACAAACCCGAAACTTTGGAATAGGCCGAGGTACTTGGTGACCTCGCTTGACTTCTTTTATTCATACATTGTGCAGTTTTCTTCTTCATACGTCTGTTATTGTGTAAACTTTTTTATATTATTGCTAGTTTCCCGATGCTGGTTTTTTCTAAACATTGACATGTTTTTATTGAAGCAAATCGAGGTACTTTTATCAAAAGTGGAGCAGTCGCTTGCCAAAACCATGTGGGATGCTCTTTCCCGGCTGATTAATGCCCTGGCTGCATTAAAGCTACTAAAGCATTCTCATGAAGATGTAAAAGTAAGTGTTGCTCTTTGTATAAGTGAGATAACCAGGATTACTGCACCGGAAGCTCCATACGACGATGATAAATTGAAGGTGAAAATCTTACCCTTCTCTCCCATCCCTCTCTTGATATAGACTCCTAACACTTTCTACGGTTTTAGGATGTTATGCAATTGATTGTCTCATCCTTTGAGCATTTGTCAGATACATCAACCCGATCTCTTAAGAAGAGGATCACTATTCTTAAAATTATGGCCAAAAGTCAGATCGTGGGTCGTCATGTTGGATTTTGGATTTGATCAGATTATTATTGACATGTTTCAATATTTTCTTAAAGGCATTAGGTATTCTTTAATGTTATATGTTCTTTCATTGGGTATGATTTCTATGCTATGTGATTACTAGCCAGACTGTGAGTGCTTATTTATGTTGTTAACATTGGATGTTTCATTTGTCATTTGCCAGGATAGTGTGCTTATTTATTTTTAAAATTTCTTCAATACTACTTGGATTTGAATAAACAGAAGTAATACAAATTAAATGTATTTTGTGCATATTATATTTTTATACGAGGGGGACAAAATAAATGCAGTAAACTACATTTAAACATTTTTTTTTTTTGGTTCTAAAAAAAGTACTATTGTTTATTTCATTAGTTCTTAAACAAGGGAGCAAATTACTGTTTTTTTGTTCCAATAAAAAAAATCATTGAAGTTGCAACTACAAAAAAAGAGTGTAATATGTAACATTGCATTTATCTATCGAAAGCAATTTGTATCGGGTTCTACTCAATATAGTTTGCTGCTGATGTTAATATCCATATTCATTCTTTTAGCCATAGAGATGAAAATGAGAGGCTTTGCTTGTTTATCCTTTTCAAATGCTTTGCACCGTTCTTAAAAATCTTGAATCAAATTTTCATTATTTAAAAAATAATTAGGGGTGAAGAGCTAGGAGAATTGGAGGGAAACTGTTAAAGAAAACACATGTTTTATTTGAGTATATGGTAGTGCGGGTCTTGATCTAGGAGAATAGAGACTTATGATGGTGATCCATGGTGATGGGATAAGGACTTAGCTAAGTATGATGATTACTCTCTCTAAACTGGTTATATAAACTTTCCAACTCAGCATTGTAAGATAAATGTAAAAATAGTAATGAAGCCCTTGATTAGGAATCGATTTTAATCAATTGCATAAATATATAATATGCATATATACTTAATGAAGCCCAATGGGCTCAACCAACATACTCTTAATTCTAATACTATCTAACACTTACCTTTAAGCTAGAACGTATAAATCATATGCACCAACCTTGCTACAGAAATACATGATATAAGAACATCTAAGAGATTTGGTGAAGATGTCGCAAAACTAATAACTGGAAGACACTTAGTACTAATGCGTCTAGATAACATCTCTTAAATGAAGTGAGCAATCAGTCATTATACGTTTAGCTTGTTCACAAAATGCTTGTTCACAAAATACAAAATAAGAAGCAATATGAATTGTGGGTTTATTATCACAAGATAATTTAATCCTAGAGGTATTGAAAAAGACTAGTTGACCCAAATAAACTCCTAGGTGGCTAAAGCTCTAGCTTATACTTGACTTCAATGCTTGATTTACGACATTTTAATCTTTACATTTCAATGATACAAGATTGGCAAAAAAAAAATGCAATTTCCAAAATGTGGATTTGAACTGTCTATCAAATCGTGATCCTGCACAATCAATATCTGAGTATCCAACAACTTGAACATTAAATTGATTAATATATAATAGCCCATGACTAGGTGATTCTTTCACATATCCTAAAATGTGAATAAACGTATCAATGAGTGGTAGTGAAGACTGAAATTGACTTACAAAGCTATCACCATAAAAACTGTTAGGACGAGTGACAATAAGATAATTCAAGGTACAAACTAGTCATTGATATTCATAGTGACCAACCTCATTTTGATATGAATTAAGTTTAAAGTTAGCACCGATAGGAGAGTAATAGGTTTATAATCTATCTTGTGCGTTTCTTCTAACATATCCAAGTTAAATTTCATTGAAAAATAGTAATACCATCTTTTGATAAAGCAACTCTGATGCCCAAAATATATATGTCCTTAACCCTTAGGTTGGATGCTACAATAAATTTTGTTTGAGTCTATATATTTTTACATGCTAATCAATTGCAATAATGACAATATCAGTAATGTGAACAAGATAAAACACTCTTAGCACTAGTAGTCTTATAAACTACAAAATGATTTGATTCAAAATCAATCATTCCAAAATAATGTATAGTAGCACCAAATCGTCCAAACCAAGTTTGATGAGATTACTTAAACCTATACAAAGATCGATGGAGCTTACACAAAACTAAACTACCCTGAGCAACTCTTTTTGGTTATCTTCTTAAAATTATACAAATAAATGGAAAGATATGGCCACTGGGGAAAGATTTTTATGTAATCCTAATCATAAGCCTAAGTAATTTCTTCGGCAACCATTGGGCAATAAGATAATTACATTTGCAATTTAGGCTAACCTTTGTTGTATAAACCCAATCATAAGCAACTACAAGTTTGTTTGGCTTCACCTTGGATGGAAGAGAGTCTTAGGGAGCGATTAAAAAATAGAGACAAACTAATTCAACTATACCTTTCTAAAGAGCTAGAAAAAAAAATTGTAACAAAGTTACAAATAAGATCGAAATGGATGCAGAAAGGACGAAGGTGATGATGGTTGTTGGGGTGAGAATAAGTGTTGCACCAATAAATTCTCGTACACTTATTCAAATGGGCCAACTCCCGAAACGTAGTTATATCACAATTATAACGGCGTCTTGTCAATGAAATAAATGCAAGGATTTCAAAGCAATAAATGACAAGTTATTTGTTTACCCGGTTCGGATGTAAACCATCCTACATCCGGGGGATACCAATCCAGAAGAGGTTCATTAATCAGTGCTGATTAAGAATAAAACATTCAAACGTCCTTCAACCCAAACTACAAGCTAATTACCTAGGAAATTCCCTCCACAGGCATATGTTGTCACAAACGTGTACTGACAACTAACATCTAGCTAGGCTGCTCAGATTCTGAATGTTCCCCTGATCGGAACTCTGATCTCCCTTCGACCGACGAACTTCTCCGGCTAGATAATAGTGTATATCACTCACTTAGTGCATGGAGATGGGAAGGGAAGACGTTGAGAGGATTGAAACAATATTTCTCTCACTACACACTCTCTCAAAAACCACTCTCTCTCCTTCCCACTAATCTCGAGCTGTATTAAGCAACCACAACAGCCATTGATTTGACATGCAATTAATTTCCTTTGATGCAAACAAAGTATGATGTGTATCAAATCACTTCTGACCACAAGAGGAAAAATTCAAAATGTTCATTTTGTCTTGAGCAACCACCATTCTAGGAAAGACAAAAAGACAGCTTGATTGGACTCCACAAGCTGAGTCAAATGTTGTTGTTTTTGGTAACTAATGACCACATCAGTAGAAATAAGTTTTGTCAATATGCCAAAAATAGGTGAAGGGGTTTTTGATCAACTTAACAATCTTCCCCTTTTTGGCATATGTGACTACGTACACAATGCAGGAGATGATCTCCCACACTCAGCAAAGCAATCCAATAATTCAAAAATCAAGTTGAGAATTAGATTACAGGCCAACAAACAAAATAAGGCTACAGATGTAATACCCCGTAAAAATACTCGCCGGAAGTTTGCCGAAGTTTGACGCCGAAGTCGGACAATATTATCTTGGGTCTAATTTATTTTGGGCTTTTGGTGTAAGAAATTAAGGATTTGGCTTTAAATTAGGAGTGAAATTGAGTTTGGGGTAAAATAAATAATAAACTAGATTTAGTTTATCCTTATATCTGGATTTATATATTTTTATCCGTAATTTGTTAACATCTATCATATCAAAGTGTGGATTTGATAAGATATAGCGTATCCATAGTTTGTTAAGATATAGTGTATCCAGGTTAGAGTGCCTATATATATAGGATGAGTCCAAGTCTTTTATGTTTAATAAAGCATAAAATAAAATAAAAGAAAAGAAAAAAAAAAAGAAAAAGAATAGAGCAGTAGAAATGTAGAATACGCCACCAGCCCCTCCTCTTCTTCTTCCTTGGAATTCTTCTTCTCCAAAACTCTTCCTTTTGGTCTAAACTCTTAAGGTAAGTGGGATTAATCTTAGATAGACGATATGTTCTAATCCCTAAACCCCTTCTATTGATATTTTTCAAAATTATTTTCAAATGGGTTTTGCCAATTTCTTGTAAAAAGTTGATTATAATGTCATCTAAGGCTTATTTGAAGATTATTATAATATTTTAAATTTAAAATCGTAGAATGAGTTTGAAACCCTAGTTTTGCCCTAACTTAGTTATGGTTTTTGAAAAAAGATTTACGATTATATTTAACATATCATGATATTTTGGAGTTACACCATGCCTATTGTGATTGACATATTATTCAAATGTTTATTTGGCGAAATAAAGAGATTATAGCGAACTTGTTAGGTCTAATATTCTACTTTTGCATGGTTAAATGCTGATTTTGAGTTTAAAACACTCTTTTTGAAATTTTCCTAAGAGCATGTTGAGTATTTGGTCAAATTGGTAATTGAAACTACTCGTCGAGTCCGATCAACTCGTCGATTGTTTCGATGATGAGACATAGCCTTCCACCTCTGTGCCTTGCAAAGACGTGAGGGTATACCGGTATTTTAGGATAACTAGCTAACCTTGAACTAGATCCCGAATGGGCTAGGTCGAGGGATCAAGATGACGGGTTCCCCTTTTTGGGTGATTCCGAGGTGCCTTTCACGATGAAAAGGTCTTTAGACCGTCATCCGTGATGGAGGGATGGATTGCGTACAATCCCCTCTTGGTATGTTATATTGGAGACTAGAGGGTTGTGGGTTGTATGGCGCCCCTCGCAAACTAATAATAAATTGATTTACGTCTACTTTGGATTTCGAACCCTTATGTACACATTGTGGAGTTTTCCTTGAGGGTTGTGACTCTATGTTTATTATGTGAAACTATGTGACGTGTCATACGAAGTAATAAGGTTGAAAAACCGGGTCGAGCCGGCCTTGATCAAGGCTTAGTGGAGTTTTCTTCGTGATGTGCTCATCACTATTATTTGAGAATGAAAATGAGATATAAGGGAGGCGCTAAAGGACTCGTGTGTGTGAGTTATCCTTGTGTGATATGTGTCATCTTATTCAAATTATCTTCTTCAAATGATTTTGTGGCATTATACCGTATTAATTTATCTTCGATTAATTGCGCTTACTCAACCATTGTGTTGA